GATTTTAGTAAGTTATATGTGTCCAGAAATTCATCCATTTATTCTTATTTTCCATTATAAGAAAATATTATGGAAATAGAAGTTTTCAAAATATTTCTTAATGATCTTTTGGATTTCATTGGTATTTGGTGTAATAACACCTTTTCAGCTCTACTTTTATTAATTTGAGTCTTCTCTATTTCTTTGGTTAGTTTAGCTAAGGGTTGACAATCTCGTTTATCTTTTCAAAGAACCAAATTTTGTTTCATTGTATAGTTCTTTTAGTTCACATTTCATTAATGTCCACCCTGATCTTTACTATTTCCTTCTGTCTACTAATTTTGGGTGTGGTCTGTTCTTGTTTTTCTAAGTCTCAAGGTAGGTGTTCATTGCTATAAACCTATTCCTTAAAACTTGAAAACTGTGTTCATGCTTGTTTGGTTATTTTTCTTTATTGCTGTCTGAATGTAATATTTCCTCAACCTTGTTTTTAATACCTGATATTCTTTCTTCTGCTTGATTCAATCTATTGGTGACAATTTCTACTGCTGTTTCTTTGACTTTTTTGTCAGGCTTTCATTTCCAACAGTTCTGTTATGGTTTTGTTTTGTTTTGGAATCTCAGTTTCTTTGCTGAATTTCTCATCCATGTCATTCATAAGTTTGCTTCAATTCTCTTTGAGCTCACTGATGATTCTTAAAACCTAGAGTTTTGGATTATTTTTCTGGCATTTCAGCCATATCTTTCTTTGTATTTGGTTATTGAGGAGTTATTAGGGTTTAGAGAAGTCATAGTGCCTTGTTCTTTTCATAGTTATTGTGATTTGTGTTGCAATTTGTATATTTGTTGGGATGGGTAGCTTTATTTTTTGTTTCTTGTTTCTGTTTTTTATTTTATGTGGGTCTCCATAGTAGGCAGCCTTCTCTTTTGGTTGTGATACTTTGATACTACTGTCTGCTTTCTCTCCTGTGAGTGGTAGTGGGGACCACAACCAAAAAAGAAGACAGTAGAAACAAAATCAACAATTTAAACCCAAACTGGAGATTTAAATGTAGTAAAAATAAAAGCAATTGGAAACAGAAACTATACCCCCCAAATGGGTTAGAAAATAAAGAAACTAGGATAGTTACAGGGTAAACCAGGAGTTTTTAAATAAAGCTGTAGATATTAATATGTAATAAAAAACAGAGAAAAAAGTAAAGTGGAGCAGGTATTTGGGATGAACATCTAAGAAATAATGGTGATCTATAATAGAATACAAAAGAACAGAAAAAGACACAACAACAAAAGTCAAATGAAAAAGTAACCACTGTTCAACGAGGAGGTGGGTTGATTACCCCTTCCCAGGCTTACCTTTTGCCAGGGGGCAAGTTGTCTTTCCTCTCTGAAGTCCAATCAGTTTAGACCAGAAATGGCTCCTTGCAAGCTGAGTCCCATCAGAACAGCAGGTGTTTTCTTCCAATCTCTGGCAGAGTTCTCTGTTCTTCAAATGTTTTCATCCATGGTGACTCATGGCAACTCCTGGCTCGTGGTTCTCTTCTGGGGCATGGTGGTCTCTGGTTCATGGTCTTCCACTTCCCACCCAAGTAGTTCTGAGGCATGGTGGCTTCCCACTTGTAGCCTGAACTTCCTGCCCAAGTAGTTCTGAGGCATGGCAGCTCCTGGCTGGTGGACTGCATTTCCTGCCTAAGTAGTTCTCTGACCATGAGTCTGAGTCCAATTTCTTGTATCCACACTGATTCTTGGGGTGGTTGCGTGCCTGGTCAATGTAAGTTGGAGATACAAAAATGCAGGGTCTTCTCTTCCCTGCTGAGAGGTCTGTCCGCAAGTACTTGGCTTCTTTTTAATGGCACTGATCTCAGAAACCATATCTTCCTTAGCCCCAAGATTATACAGGTTTTTTGGATCAAACTTCAAGTTTTCCAAATCTTTCTGCTCTGCTATTTTTTCCCAACTCTCACTCCTTTTTTGTAGCACTGGGGTTTGAACTTGGGGCTTTGCACTCACAAGACAGGTACTCTACTGCTTGAGCCACAGGTTCAGACCTTTTTGCTCAGGTGATTTTGGAGATAGGGTCTTTCTTTTTGCCCAGGCCAGCCTGAACTGTGGATTTCCCTATTTTATGCTTCTTGCCAACACTGGGATGACAGGTGCACACCATCATGCCCAGCCGCCATTGAGATGGTGTCTCACAAACTTCTTTACTAGGGCTGGTCTGGAACCCTGTTCCTCCCAAGTTCAACTTCTCAAGTGGCTAGGATTACATTTGTGAGCCATCAGTGTCTAGCTACAGCTCTTAACCTAACTAAAGTTAGCCAGCAATAACCATATCACAACCTGAATGATGAAATGCCTTGAATTTTCCTCCGCCAGATTAATTCATCTGTCACCTTTAAAATTAGCCTCCCACAAAATCTCAGGACATTGGCAAAGTGTAGACAAGTTCCTTGCCTTAATGTAAGATAGATGACCTCTAGTCCAATTACTAGTAAAATGCCCATTCCCCTCTGAAACATCATAAACCTGGCTTTCACTGTCTGTATTCCTACTGGCATTCTGATTTTTTTAGTTCTCACCAGCATCACCCATTTAGTTTCTCTTATAGCATTCTAGGCTTTCTTCTCTCAATTCATCCAAATACTTCCATAAAACAGTTCCAAAGGTTTCTGAACCCTATTGTCAAGTAATACAAGCAATGCTTACACTCCTGATTTTAACATTCTGTTATCTTCTCATCATTGTGACAAGTACCTGAGGGAGAAAAACTTAAAAGGAGGAAGATTTATTTTGGCTCATGGTTTCAGAGGGTTCACTCTGTCATGTCTGGGAGGGCATTGTGGGGAAGAGAAGCTCACATTATTGTAGCCATAAAACAGAGAAAATGCCTAGACTCATTGGCTTTCTCCTTTTTCCTCTTTTATTCCATCAGGCTCCCAGCCTATGGGATGGGGCCACCCACATTCAAGTGATGTTAATCCTTACTGGAAACAACCACACAAACACACCAGGAGGTGTGCTTCACTAACTTTCTAAGCCCTACTTAATCCATCAAGTTGAAAACCAGTATTAACCATCAGAGTTTGTGCATATGGGGGAAAAGAGAAACTCTTATAGCCTGTTGGTAGAGATATAAATAAATCCACTTACTGTGGAAATCATTATAGCAACTCAAAAATTAAAAGTCGAGGTATGGGAAAATAAAGTATACTCACAGCAAGATACATCAAGAAACCCCTTTGAACATCAACTTTGGAATAACAACAAAAGACAGGACTGCAAAATAGATACGGGGGGGGGGTACTTGTGGGAGGGTGAGGGTGAATGGAGGAGATGAAAGTGAGAGCATATGGTTGATGGGCTTCATATACATACATGAAATAAAACCATGCAACCTCTTGCAATTGCTTTAAGAGGTGTAGGGAGGGGTTTGCGGGACAGGGTTGGTGGGGACAATCTAACCAAGGTACAATGTAAAGCTAGAATTGTCCCAATGAATTCCCCCTGTACAATGAATATATGCCAATAAAAATGAAAGACAGAGGTCTGGGGATGTATCTCTGTGGTAAAGTGCTTGCCTAAGCATGTACAATGCTCTGGGTTCAATGTCCAGCACTGCTGGGAAAAAGAAAAAAAGAAAGAAAACAAATTACAAAGAAAACCACCATATGATTTAGCTATATACTTCTGAGTATAGGCTCAAAAGAATCAAAGTCAGCTTACCATAAAGATATATGAAAGTCCACATTTATCACTGTGCCACTTGTAAAAGACAAAACATGGACTTGACCCAATTGCCCATCAGTGGATGAATAGATAAAGAAAATGTGGTGCATGCATACATACATACAATGGAGTTTTAGTCAGCCATAAAGAAAAACAAAATTACCTGGCTCCAGTGGCACATGCCTGTAATTCTAGCTACTCAGGAGGCAGAGATCAGGAGGATTATAGTGTGAAGCCAGCCCATGCAAGTAGTTTGCATGTGTTGTGAAGCCCTGAGTTCAAATCCCAGTACCACTCAAAAAAAGGCTGTGGAGACACGACTTCTTCCACTTCAACTTCAAAGGACATTTCAGACAAATTGGGGGACAAGATGGAAATCTTTTCCAGGGGTAAAGTTGAATCAGAATCCCCACTAGGACCATGACTGGTGTAACTGTGGGGGTAGGACCACCACTAGGTCCTAAGAATTATAAAGCCAACAGTAATGGGAAACCCCTGCCACATATGAAAACCACTGTATGCACTGAACTCAGCCAAATGATGGAGTGGAGGCTGATGAAGACTGTGGGACCTCCAGAAGGCAGCACATGGAGTGAAAGCCTATTCTGAGGTCTAAACACTTGATGGCCGCCCTGTTGCCTTTTGTACTTTCTTGGGACCTGTCACTTCTTTCTTGCCCCTTTTGGCATGGAAGTGTCTGTCCTCTGTCTGTCCCACACTGTATCACTGTAACAGTGATAATGGAAATGGCACTATGTCTTATGCCACTCTATTTTTGGTCAGCCCTACTTTGTAAATTGTCCCTTATAAAGTTATTCTCATTTTCTCTTTTGCCTGGCATTCTGAAAAAAAAAAGCACTGCTTAATGACTAAGCTACTAACTGCAGAAGTTGAGTGTTGCAGGAAAAGGAACTAGATAAACACTGGTCTTGAGGCCTCCTGATCTTTAATCGCTCTCTAGTTTTTCAGAGCCCAGAACATCTGATGATCTTCAGATACCATCAAAGTGTGACCAAGGACTTGCTAATTTTGTCCTTTAGTTAAAAGTAGAATAATTTTTAGCACTTGGGGAGAATAATGTGTTTTTCTGAAGGATTACAGTGACTGTCATAGGAGAAAGTAGTCAGTTGTTATATTAAGGAGGTTCTAGCAAAAAGGGAAAAGAAACACAAGCCTTGAATGATGAAAACCCTGACCAGCATTGAGCCTTCCTTCCCATTGTTCCCTGTACCTCATCTCCTCTTCACAAAAGCCTCTGTCTATACCTGAGTTCCCTAAGATGGTCATTATTTCAGGGGATGTTGGAGTTTGGATGTGAAATGCCCTCTATTGAAGACTTCGTGCTCAATGCAGAAGTGTTCAGAGGTGGGACCTTGATAAGTGATTGGATAATAATGGCTCTGACTTCACCACTGATGAATTCATATCTGAAAGGACCACTAGGTGGTGGGGCCTAACTGGAGGAAATAGGTCACTGGGCGTGTGCCCTTGAAAGTCACATCTTGTCCCTTGATCTTATTTCTGCTTCCTGGATATCTTAAAGTGAGCAGTGTTCCACTGTATGCTCCCTGCTGTGATGCTCTGCCTCACCATGGCCTTCAAACAATGGAGTCAAATGACCATAGACTGAAATCTCCAAACTCATAAGCCAAAATACCTTGTTCTTCCTTTAACTTGATTTTCTCAGGTATTTTGTCAAAGTGAAAGAAGATGACTCACACAGGAGACAATAAACCCCCACCTTCTCAGAGTGACAGCCTGTTGAACAGACCCAATTTCTTCCCTACGAACCCTTGGATCCCAAGCACTGGTTTTTAGTAGCAAGCAGAAGCACTTGGCTCTGGTAACACCATCACTGTAATTTGAAAATAGGTAATTTGTTTTCATTTCACAGGTTCACAGTTTGACTTTGGACTTTTGAGTTGGGGATAGAACAAGTTTAGACTTTTGGGACTCTTGGGGTCAGTTTGTCCTTATGAAATTAATGTTGAAATTTGATTGCCATTAAGTCGGTATTTGGAGACAGGGCTTTAAAACAAAATATTATAAATGCAGCTCCTGGTTTTTGGTATACCCTAACAGCCATGAAAAATCTCAGCATATGACAATGTTGATGAGGCTCTTGATGCTTACTTGGACACTTGTCTGCCAGTCTCCCAAATATTTCTTTCTAAAATAACACAAGGCAACAAGTGAGGAGAGTAAATAATACATAACCATGATATCAGCTTAAGTCAAACATGGAAAATGTCAAAATGCAAAAGAACTAAAAAAGAAGAGCTGTCAAGTAGTAGAATGAGATTTCTTACCCAAAGACAGTAGAATACATGAGAGAAAAACTAGCAAAGAAATCTCAAATTAATCTGAAACTGTTTTCTGCCTTTCTCTGTTGCTTCAGTTTCTCCATATTTTTCTGCTGTCCTGACACCTCTTTTGTGATTTCTTCCTCTTTCTCTCTTCAGTTATCTCTCTTGTGTTATCTGACTCTTCTCATTCATGGAGCCAAAACAATAGACACTTCTAATTCACCATCCTGTGCCACCTCCTGATCTTTGGTTTGCTAGCATTCCAAGTAAATACTTTTTCTTGACCAACAACGTGTCCTTAATTCACTGGCGTTTTTAAGTGGTGAGCCAAACCAAACCTTAAATGGTTACACTCTCAGGTTCAGTAATTAAATATTTGACTCATAGAACTCAGACAACATTGTGCTTACATTTACTTGTCTATTATAAAAGATAAACTAAAAAATGAACAAATCGAAAAGATGCATAGAGCAAGGGAAAGAGTGCAGAAGTTGTGTGGAGTTTCCATGTCCTCTCCTGGTGACAACCTCTAGAAACTCCACATGTTCTCTGACATGGGAAATCACCAAGTCTCATTCTTCTAGAGTTTTTATGGCAGGATAAAAACTGAACATCCAAAAGTTAGTGACTTTTCTGTATAATAATGAATTTACTGAGAAAGAAATGAGAAAAGTGATCCCACTCACAACAGCCACAAAGGATTGGACCTAACTAAGGGTGTAAAAGACTTCTACAATGAATATTATAAATCACCTAAGAAAGAAATAAGACAATGAAAAGTGGAAAGATTTCCTATGTTCATGGGTTGGAAGAAATAATATTTTTTAAATGAACACACTAGCAAAAGGAATCCACAGATTCAATCCCCAAAAAATTCTAATGATATTTTTCACGGAACTAGGAAAAACAGTACTAAAATTCATGTGAAAGCGCAAAAGATCTGAATAACCAAAGCAATCTTGAGCAAAGAAAAAAAAAGAACTCAAAGAAAGCTCAATCTTCAGTCAACTGATTCCGACAAAGGTACCAAGAAACACACATTGGGGAAGGGCCTGCCTCTTCAACAAATGCTGCTGTGAAAACTAGATATCCACATGTAGATGACTGAGTCTTGACTCATTTCTTACCCTATACAAAAATCAGATTTTAATGTAAGATGTGAAATGTTGGAACTATTGGGGAAAAATATAGGGGAAATGCTTTAAGATATTACTATAGGCAATGATTTTTCTGGATAGGATTCCAAAATCATAGGAAACAAAATCAAGGATTGACAAATATTATTGCACAAAATTAAAAAGTTTCTGCACAGTAAGAGAAAGAATGTACTGAGTGAAGAGACAACCTACAGAATGGGCAGAAATCTGACAGCTATTCACTTGACAGAGGATTTATATTCAGAATATATAAAGAAATAAAAACACTAAATTTTTTTAAAAGGGGTTACCAATTTAAAATGGGCAAATTATTTGAGCAGACACTTCTAAAGAAAGAAATACAGGTGACCAAAAAATGCATGAAAAATGATCAATGTCACTGACAATCAGAGAAATGCAAATGAAATCAAAGAGACCTAATTTCACCCCAGTTGGAATGTCTATTATCAAAACAAGACCAGGTATGATGGCACATGATTGCAATCCCAACACTTTGGATGGCAAATTCAAAGCCAGCCTGGACTGAATAGTGAAACCCTATCTCCAAAAATAGCAAAGAAAACAACAAAAACCCAAATGCTGGGAGTATGTGAGGAAAAGGAACCACTACACACTGTTGATGGGAATGCAAATTCATAGAGCCATTACAGAAAGCAACTTGGAGGCTCCTCAAAAACTAAAAGTAAGTGTGCCATATGACCAAGCTATCCCACTCCTAAGTCACCATACAAAACAGATACCTGTTATCCCATGTTTATTGTGTCACTATTCACAGTAGCTAAGCTATGGAACCAGCCTGTGTTCTGGTCAACAGATGGATGGAAATGGGTGTGACGGTACACACCTATAATCCAAGCACCTGGGAGGCTAAAAGAGGAGGATCATGAGTTGAAGGTCAAGTCTTGTCTACATAATAAAAACCTTATCTCAAAAAATGCATGCACAAAGAAAATGTAGTGACTATACATGATGGAGTACTACTCATCCATAAAGAAGAATGAAAATTTGTCATTTGCAGGAAAATGTATGAAACTGGAAGACATCATGTTGACAAAATAAGTCAGACATGGAAAGACAATTATTATAATCTGTTTTCCTTCATATGGAAAAATTTTAAAAACCAGGTAAAAGTAAAGGACAGATTACTAGGGACTACGAATGTAAGAGGAGCTCAAGTTGCTTTTGCTGAAAAGCACTGACTCTTTACTTGGGCCCACAGATTAGCCAAAAACAGGAGAAGCTTTGCATCCCTGTCTCCGTTTTGTATCTGTCTTTCTCTTAGCCATTCTCTTCCGTCACTTTGCAATCACCTTGGATTCCAAACAGGACAAAACTGATAACATCTTTATGACAAGGAACCAGAGCCATGTGGAACTGCTCCCCTTCCAGTGAGAACAATTCACATACAAGAGAGAGTAGGCCTCTCGAACAGGAACCAGATTACTCCCTCCAGGTGATAGCATCCCCAAACTGGACCAGACCACCTGCGTGACCAAGATTGCTGGCCCCACCAGTCATGAGACCAACCAGACCACACCTGAACTGGGACTGTTTAACTATACATACCTTTGTTCCTTGCCCCCAGTTTTTCTTGTCTGTTTAAACCTATAGCTGATGTCTGTACCCCAAATATGGCTAAAGATGAGCTGAGTGCTGACTCTGCCTCTTCCCACAGAATGTCCAGAGTCGTGTAATAAACCTCCTTTCTTTGCCTTCACCATGCCTCCTTATTTGGTGTTAGGGGTGGGTGGCCAGATCTGGCATATGGAATCCCAGGAGGAGTTTGGGCCTTGGGTCCAAAACTCCAGTTTCAGGAAGGGGGCCAGGGAGAGCAGATCAAGAGAAGAACAGGGGAGATGATAGATACGTAAAGATCATGTGGGTGTCTTTTTGCAAGATACCTGGGACACCCTCATTCATAACTTCTACTCCTTCCCAAGTGTAGTAAGTAGACCCCAGTCCAGAAAACCCTGTGTGGCCAGCCACCTCTTTCCCACTTGTTCAGTGACCAAAGAAGGATAGGAGCCCCACCAGGTGTAGCTGTTCCTTAGTAGAGTTCCCATTGATGATGACTAGTTGGGCTCCCAATTCCTGGCAGATGCTGATGGAGTCAAGCCAGTTGGGTTGGGTCATGAAGAAGAAGTAGCAGTTGTCTTGGAAGAACATCCAGTCCTAGGAGCAAGGATAGCATGGGAGATCTGTTGGGGGAGACCAGCTTGACTCATGTTTGGATCCTCATGTTCCTGTGTCTGCTCATCCCTCAAACCCTCCACAGTCAGAGCCCTCTTTTGACACAGCACCTTCAGTGAGTCATTGTTCTCCACCTCCGGAGATTCTTATACACCCTAGGAAAACCCAGGAGGCCTGGACTCATCTCCCGTAGACTGAGAGAATTAGGAAATTCAAATCTCAGAACAGAGGCCATTAGACTCCCTCATTGGGTATCCGTGGTCCCTGTAAACACAAGGAACCATTCTGCTATTAACCAGTGTTGCTGTTCCACAAATGAGAAACCTGAGGCTCAGAGAAGAACAATGACTTAGTCAAAGTGACATTGTCTGGGATTCCTCTCGGGCACTTGGAGTACTGGTTTCCTGACACTCACCAAATAAGTCAGTTACTGGCAGATATTCTCCTGCCCTGGGATCTGGGCACAATGGAATTGTGCCAAGAAAAAAACTAAACTACAGTTATTAAACACCTAGGGTATGCCATGGCCTGCACTGGGCCCCAAGGAACAGTTTCTGAGAGTCAATGTCTTTTCTTTCAAATACTAAGAAATTTCATTAGCATATAATAGTTGTACAGGGGGATATATTGTGGTATTTACATATGTGCTTACAATGTATCTTACTTAGATTTACCCCCTCCATCATTCTCCCTCTTCTACCCTCCCTACCTT